GCGGATTCTTGGAGACAGGGGACTCCCAGAAACAGGACGGGCAATTTGGTGCCGGAGGACAAAAATTGGCAAAAAACCTCTCTCTACTCCATTCATCGAAATCCTGTCTAGTATCCAACCCACTATGTGGGAGATATACATTCTCTAGACTCCTGACTGGCAAAGTCACTCCCACCGGCTCATTCATTAGGCAGAAGACAGAAATGGAGTTCCATTCTTAACCCAGCTGTCCTTCTGGTGATGGAGACAGGGGACTCCCAGAAACAGGACAGGGAGGGGCAATTTGGTGCCGGAGGACGAAAATTGGCAAAAAACCTCTCCCTACTCCGTTCATCGAAATCCTGTGTAGTATTCAACCCACTATGTGGGAGAAATACATTCTCTAGACTCCTGACTGGCAAAGTCACTCCCACCGGCTCATTCATTAGGCAGAAGACAGAAATGGAGTTCCATTCTTAACCCAGCTGTCCTTCTGGTGAAAGAGCATTGCAGGTGAGATAACAAGTAAACAGGGGCTGCAGCTACCATAAACAGAACCTCCGGTCTCACAGATGGGGAGGGGGAGCTAGGACCCCTGAAGTCCTTTCAAGGCTTCAGCATCAGTTTCTTTAACAGCTTATACAGCATGCTGAGCCACCAACTTCAAGACAAAAAACACACAAAACATTGAGCTGGCTGCCATCTTTTTACCACTATAAAAAAAAGCCATATGCATGAGATATATATACAACTTGGAAAGCTTGAGGCTCTATGATAGGCAGTGAGGAGGCAGGACACAGAAAAGGTTTTACAGGGGCCCACTTTCTGCTTGCCCCTTCAAATAATATTTGACCTTTGTACGATCTTTAACAGCTTATACAGCATGCTGAGCCACCAACTTCAAGACAAAAAACAAACAAAACATTGAGCTGGCTGCCATCTTTTTGCCACTATTAAAAAAAAGCCATATGCATGAAATATATATACAACTTGGAAAGCTTGAGGCTCTATGATAGGCAGTGAGGGGGCAGGACACAGAAAAGGTTTTACAGAGCCCACTTCCTGCTTGCCCCTTCAAATAATATTTGTACGGATCAGTACAGATCGCCAAAAGTAGGGTGAGTGATGGGTGCTGACTGTCTCACTGTAGAACTGGTGGGTGGCTGCTGATTGGCCAGTGCCCTACTTTTTGAATTTCCGTACTTTCCTCCCCTTGCTGGGTTGGGGCAGCTAGTAGGAACCTTGGGTATGTGAAGCCAAGGAAAGATGCGTTGAGAATGGCTTGGCTTGGTAGGACAGGAAGGATTTATAGTATCTTCACTCTGGAGAGTCACTGGCCCCCTAACTAGGTGCAGATATTCAGGTAGCTTTGATCATTCTATTTATCGACTTTTGACAACAGTTATGCTCCTCGTTCTGCAGCTTTGTACGAATCAGTACAGATCGCCAAAAGTAGGGTGAGTGATGGGTGCTGACTGTCTCACTGTAGAACTGGTGGGTGGCTGCTGATTGGCCAGTGCCCTACTTCTTGAATTTCAGTACTTTCCTCCCCTTGCTGGGTTGGGGCAGCTAGTAGGAACCTTGGGTATGTGAAGCCAAGGAAAGATGAGTTGAGAATGGCTTGGCTTGGTAGGACAGGAAGGATTTATAGTATCTTCACTCTGGAGAGTCACTGGCCCCCTAACTAGGTGCAGATATTTAGGTAGCTTTGACCATTCTATTTATCGACTCGTTCTGCAAATCACAGACATCACCATTTCTCTACTTCCCGGTCTATAATCACAGGGTTACATGCAGTGCCAGTTATTAACCAAACAAGCCCCCCTGAACCCTTTTTCCTTCGCTGCCACTCACATTGTCTCTTTGGTCGAAGTCAACAGAGCTGGAGACGGAGGTGAGACGTTCATAACGATCATGGCTGTCAGAATGCAGGGCAGATGCCACACTGGAATTACAATGGATAAGACAGTTAAATGGAGACACATGCTGGAAAGAGCACAGAGGCCGAGAGACCCCTGAAGGTCAGAGGGGTTAAGTCAGGTCAGTTATTGCCCCAGGCGTGATGAAAAGAAAACTTCCATAGACACCAGAGAGAAAAGAGAAAAGCCATTAGCAGAGACTGCCCCTTTCTTTCCTGAAAGCCTTGTGCTAGAAGTACCACTCAGGTCCACTGCCGATCTGTCTCAGTACCAGGCTAGTGGACACATTGGGTGTGGTCTACCCATGACTATTGCTGCAGGCTCTTTCATAAGCAGGGTTGTGTGTACTATGCATTATTACAAAAATATTTTTTAAAAAAACTGCAACCATTGGGAAAAGGTACATTTGGTTCTTTCTGCACTGTTTAAAGCTGTTCAAGTGTTTGCTATTTCTGCATAACTTGAGCTTTGCTAGTCAAAGAGCTAAGTAGGGCACTGAAGCCCCACCCCACCAGCCACTGGAAAACTTATTCAGCCCCACATTTCTGATATTTCAGATCAAATTTAAGTGTGTATCTTTGCCGTTATAAGGGCCATAATTTTGATTTAAAAATGACAAAATGCAGAGATTCTCGGCAAGTTCTGCATTCAACGGCATGGTCTACATTCCGCGCGCACACCCAAACTGTAGCACACACACAGCCCTGTTCATAAATTATACAGTTTCCCATGCAAAAATTAATTGTATAGAAGAGAGAGATTATTGCTCTATGGAAAAAAAGCAATGTATGAAGCTGTTCTCAGTGGCTCTAGAAGTTATTATTTCCCAGCATTAATCTCCCTCGTGGTTCATTTTGAGGCTAAAATCATATAGCTTGTACAGCATTTCCTAGCCTGAGAAGTGCTATTGAAACAAATAATTAGTAATTAAACTAGTCATTTGTGACTACGAGAAAGGCAGGGGCTTCCACTCTCTAGCCTACGGAGTCACCACATGGCCTCAGCGGTGTTGCCGGAATCCAGACGCCACCAACATGCCTATGTGCTGAACTAAAGCAAGCAATACCTTCAACTACTCTGCAGCCAAACTACCAAGAGGAGACACATGAGGAGACACATAAAGAAATACGCAGGAGTTAAAAGTCTGCTTCAGAAGGAGATGAATAAAGAAGAGGAATAGGAATAAACAACAGGTGAGCTCTGAGGGGCCCGTGCTTCCCTTTTTGTGATAAGACTTAATGGAAGAGTCCTATGAAATTATGGAAATACAAAGGCACATAGCTGCTAAAGGAACAGCTATAAAAACTACTTCCCACAGGCATAAGAAAGATATTTGACCACAGGACATTCATGCCACTAACTAGTGTTCCATTATTAGCAAGGATGAGTGGAAAGTAATAATGCCAGGAATTCCAACAGATATTAAAGACTTTACTTTTGACTTGGGAGGTTAAACTAATGCCCACCAATGGCAATGGTTATTCTGAATCAGTAGGATTTTGACTGCTAGAGATTTGGCTCCTGCATCTTTCAGACGATGCTGCTGATCAGCATCAAAATAAATTACAGTGCAATCATTAACAGAGCTATACCCCATGACAGACAGGAGGCTGTCCTGTCCCTAAGGGGGGAAACAGCCACTCAGCTGAGCCTACCCAGTCCGGCATCCAATCACCTTCCAAGAGGGGAGTGGAATATTGGAGTTGAGCCGAGTTCTTCCTCAGGGAGAGAGCAGCGATAGCCTCAGTAAAACAGCAGATAGTTTGAAGAATAGCTCTGCTTGGTAGTTGAGCTCCACCTCTGAGGGAGAACAGAGTACTCTACTGTTAGGCCAGTCCTCTGATAATGAGCAGACCTCGTACCATTTAGTCTGACTCTTGGGAAAGGGTAGGGTGGTGTGGGTGGAATCCTCTCTATGTGTGTCTCTGTGTGAGGATTCAATCTAGTGGCTAGCCAGTAAAAGCCTCTTTGTGCCTGAAAGCATTAAAGAAAATTGAAACCACACTCTGAAGCCATAAGTAGCTTAACATTTATATGCCTCATCCAGATTTCTTCTCTGACTATCTCTGGAAACCTGCACTGCTGATCTGTTCTTTGAAACCAATCTGTAAATAAATAAATCTTCTGTGTTGTTTATATGCAATTCCTGCCTCAGTGATCTCCATATTCTCCTTGCTCACCACAAAACTTGCCTCATGGCAGTGAACCCAAACAACACCTGATAACTCAGAGGAAGGATTATAGTTCGTAGAAAAAGCCCAGCAGGAACTCATTAGCATAATAGGCCACACCCAACATCAGAAACTCATTAGCATATTAGGCCACACCCCTGACAGCACAGCTCATTAGCCCATTAGGCCACACCCCCATGTTACCAGAAGTGTGGTCATCCAGCCACACCCACTTTTTGCTTCTTATTCTGTTTACCTTGTTTGTTGTCAAAACCCAGGGCTTTTTTTGGAGCAGAAACTCCTTTGCAAGTTAGGCCACACACCCCTAAAGTAGCCAATCCTAATGAGTTTCGGCTGTTGGGTGTGGCCTATCACAAGGAGGATCAGAAGGAGAGTTAACTATTATGCTAATGAGTTCCTGCTGGGCGTGGCCAACTTGGGAGCCAGCCGGAACTCCGTTCCTGAGCGTTCCTGCCCCAAAATAGCCCTGTTTTAAAACAAAACTTGTTCCTCAAAAGTCAGAGGAGGCTATGTGGGTCCCCTTTAGCTGGTAGAAAAGGCCTGTCACTTGCACTTGGAACTCAATGGACTTAGAGGAGCGTAGCTTTGTTTAGGATTGTACTGTATGCATGAGAATAATGTTGATATTTTATATAAACAGCTTTCAATTTACTACAAAGACCAGGGCAGCAAACAGAGGATCTGCAGGACTATTTCATATCACAAGGAGGATCAGAAGGAAAGAGTTACCCCTCCCTCACCGTCCTAACCCTAACTGGGGCCTATTTAAGAAGACTACACATTTGAGAGTTCTGACAACAGAACGCCTGGCATCCAGTGGCGTCTGTGAACAGTTTCTCACTTCATGTGACCAACGTGGTATCATGTCATCAGCAACAGACGGATGAAGGTAGTGTTTCAAAGTGATTGGGGAAACCAGAGGCTTTTCTGTGGAAAACACCAAGTTTAACACAAATATGATTTGCAATCAAGCGCCACTTGAATTTCTGGATTTACTGTTCCTTCTCCTCAATGTCACCTGGACTCTTCTCCCAGGCTCACCTTTGACTTTTTATCACGCTGCTTCCTTTGTCTGACCTGAACCTATTCTTCACTCATTCAAGGCACCTCTCTCTCCCTCAAGGTAAACAAGCATATCTATAAAATAAAAACAGATTTGTTTACATGGCATAGCTTTACTTAAAAGGCATCTGAGCTTTTGTAATATTTTGATTTTTTTTTATATAACGGGTGATGTGGTGGGAGGAAGAGAAGCAGACACGGGGCGCTAGGAATGTACCATGAAGTAAACAGAGGTCACAGAGAACAAGCAGCCAAGATTTACCATTAAATATGAGCGCCTTTGGAAGATGCTACTCGCATATTTTTAACCCACTATGAGGATTTTTTTAAAATCCTGCCACAATTCTGTGTCAAGTTGGTCCTAGATTGCACACTATGAACTTCCAGAAGATGGGCAGCCTTAACTATACAATGCCTGGAATGGTAGATTTAGTGAGGCACTTTTTATGGGCTTGTCCAGATGGTACTCATTCCCGGCATCAAAAGCACCGACCATGTTGCTCTCATTAACATTAGTGACAAGAGTTCTATTTGGATCTGTATAAACCAGCATATTTGGTTTTACACTTTGAACAGAGGATGTTCCGGGGAGGAAAGAACTGTCCTATCTCTGTGACACTTCTAGCACTCTTCTTGCGGGGAGGTGCCTTAGGAGTACTGCAGGATCCCAAAGTGACAAGATGACCAATCAACCTCATACACGGAAAGAAGGCTACTTGCCTTATTTTGTGAGCGAGGCAATGTTCCTCAATCAACCAAGGTAACTTTATATGTGTTCATGTGTATTCTCAGACACTGGGCTCTTTAAAGCATGGTTGTGCAATGAATTAGCAGAGGGGTGGCCAACAAGAAGCACAAGTCCACAGGTAGTCAGCAATGTTCCCTCTAAGCTGTGGAGTCTTGTGAGCAAAAATTCTACTTTGTGAGCTACTGGCATTAAAGTTGTGAGCGAGCGATTTGGCTGCTGCATAAATTAGTTTGCTCCGGAGCCATCCTTCCCGAGCTAAGACAAAAATGTGTGAGCTGGAGGCTAAAAAACTCTGAGCTAGCTCACACTAACTCAGCTTAGAGGGAACACTGGTAGTCAGAGTTAGTGGCATTTCTACTAAAAGGAGCAGGAGGACCTGTTGGCCTGACACCATGCCAGAGCCATTCCTATGCCACTGCCTGGTCCCCAGTTCAAGAGATTAGTGGCAAAAGGATTCCAAGCCCTTAACCGGGCTGCACGTACACTGACATACTTGCCAAAAGAGAGAGAGAGAGAAAAGAGAGAAACGAGAGAGAGAAGAAGGAGGGAGGGAGGGAGGGAGGGAGGGAGGGAGAGAGAGAGAGAGAGAGAGAGAGAGAGAGAGAGAGAGAGAGAGAGAGAGAGAGAGAGAGAGAGAGAGAGGGTGGATTTGTTTGTTTTTCAAGAGAGAGAGAGAGAGAGAGAGAGAGAGAAGCCCTGACTTGGATGGCTGATCTTGTCAGATCTCAGAAGCTAAGCAAGGTTGGCCCTGGTTAGTACTTGGATGGGAGACCACTAAGGAAGTCCAGGGTTGCTATGCAGAGGCAGGCAATGGCCAACCACCATTATTGGTCTCTTTGCCTTGAAAAACCTTATGGGATCACCTTCAGTCAGCTGTGACTCGATGTTACTTTCCACCAGGAAAACAAAGGTGTGATTGGCTTCATGATCCACACACCATCAGCATGAACACCAAACAATCCTCCCTTTCTCTGAATGTCGAGAATGTGGATTTTGGGCAATTTGCTGCTTGCGTTTACGCATTTGCAAAAGTGAACACGAGAGAGTGACGGTCCACAAGAGGGAGCTAGAGGGTAACATGTTGCCAGGCAGATTCTAATAGTGGGTTCACAGCGGTGTGATGTAAGATGTGGCAATGTGGGCGTGGATCCCTGTGGGGCTGCAAGATCTCCAGACCTCTCTTAAGAGATGGTGGGGGTGGGATCTCTGACATACAGGTGCCCTCCTCCTCCTCCTCCTCTTTTTAAAGAACAAACGGCTGATTCATAGACAGGTGTCTGTATGAATGTAGGCATAGAGAGGGAGCAGAGGGACTGAGGAAGAGGCTGCACGGAGAAGAGGCTTTTCTTTGATGAAACTTCCAGACCGTGACAACCAGGAGCCTGGAAGTGCTATAGAGGGAAACACACACTGCACTTAAGGCAGTTCAGGCATGGCCAAGCCTTAGCTGTTTAAGGTGCATATTCCCACACGGCAGCTTTGTTCTTCCCATCAAGGTCCATTGCCAGTACCCCGCTTTGTCTCAGAGACATTCTGCAATGGCCCACACTCAGCATTTTTCAGTGGCTGCTCCATATCTGTGGAACAGCCTCATGGAAGAGGCTGGGTGTGTGTGTGTCTCCTACCCTTCTCGTTTTCCAGCTAGGCTGCAAGACATAACTATTCCATAAAATTTTTGGGACAGCCTGAGCCAAGGGGAATATCTTCCTAGTGGGGCATAAGGTGTTTTAAGATTGGTTTTTAATATGGTCTTAAAGGTACTATATGGAGCTGCGGTGGCTCAAGTGGTTAAGACGCTGAACTGCAGGCTGTGGAAGGTCGGCAGTTCAGCAGTTTGAGACCCGAGTGTGCCGCATGACGTAGTGGGCTCCTGTCTCTAGTTCCAGCTCCTGCCAACCTAGCAGTTCGAAAGCAAGAAATTGCGGTGGCTCAAATGGTTGAGACGCTGAACTGCAGGCTGTGGAAGGTCAGTAGTTCAGCGGTTCAAGACCCGGGTGCCGCAAGACAGGGTGAGCTCCCGTCTCTAGTTCCAGCTCCTGCCAACCTAGCAGTTCGAAAGCAAGAAATTGCAAGTAGATAAATAGGGACCACTTCGGTGGGAAGGTAACAGCGTTCCGTGCGCCTTGGTGTTTAGTCATGCCGGCCACATGACCACGGAAACGTCTTCGGACAGCGCTGGCTCTTCGGCTTTGAAACGGAGATGAGCACCGCAACCCTAGAGTCGGATTCGACTGGCTTTCGAGCAAGGGAACCTTTACCTTTACCTTAAATAGGTACCACTTCAGTGGGAAGGTAACAGCGTTCCGTGCGCCTTGGTGTTTAGTCATGCCGGCCACATGACCACGGAAACGTCTTCAGACAACGCTGGCTCTTCGGCTTTGAAACGGAGATGAGCACCGCAACCCTAGAGTCGGATTTGACTGGCTTTCGAGCAAGGGAACCTTTACCTTTACCTTTTTAAATGTACTATAGATCTGATATATTGTTTTTAATTCAATTGTTTTATATTTTTAATAATGTTGTTACCCATCTTGGATTCTGATATTTAAATAAATCGTTACTAGGGCTGGGCCATTATCAAGGACTCTGAGCTTATTTTCCAAACCAAAGCTCAGTCCTGGAACATAAGTATATCTTTGCTCACATCTTTCCTTCCCCATCAAGCAAATGCCAAGTGCTGGAACATCTACCATAGAGAGGTCGGACTCCCAAGCAGGGTTGAGCAGTGACACTCCTCTCTTCAGAAATTAACACTAGCATTTGCCCTGTGACACACTGTTGTTTCCTCATATTAGTCAATGTTGTGTAGTGGACAGACATTAGACCGGGAAGATCTGGGTTCAAATCCCCGTTCAGCCACAGATTTGCTGGGTGACTTTGAGCAAGCCAGTTTTTCACTGCCCCATCTACCTCACAGGCCTTTCTGTTTGTGAAGCTAAAATGGGGGTGGGGGTATTACATATGCTATGAGTCCCTTGAAAGAAGGATGGGATAAATAATCAATAAAAATATCCCAAGACATTTTTCTGCCCTAGATGGGAAATCCAAATTAGGCCTCCCCATGGTAACAGAATAAGAGTCCACTGCTTTCCTTTAAAAGGCACTCAAACCTACTATCTGAGGCTCCCACCTCTCTCTACTCCATGTGTCAGCCCTGATGTCCCAGCTTGTCCTTGGATAGAATACCAGGTGTTGAGACTTGGGGCATAGCAGTAGGGAGGGGCTGTCACAAAATTCATAGCATGCCTAATAGGCAGTTAGCAGGTCTCTTCTTTCAGCTTCAAGAGGACCTGCACAGGTCCCCCCCAAAGTAAAAAAACATTCCCTGCACATGCACAGAGAACGCTCTGGCCATTGGGGGGGGGGGCTTGGCAGGCCCGGCAGCTGGGAGCCACTCAGGCCTCGCCGCCAGAGCCGGGGG